GCAAAAACAGACATGAAGACTAATGAAACAATAGAAAATAAAGAGATAAGCCCACATAAATACAGTTAACTCATTCTAGATACAGGCACCATAAACATAGCTTTGAGAAAACATAGCCTCTTCAACAAACGGTGCCGGGGAAACTGGAAATCCACATATAGTAGAATGAAATTGAACCCCCATCGCTCAAGCTGCACAAAACTCAAAGTGGACCAAGGATCTAGGCATTAGACCAGAAACCCTGTGCTTACTAGAAAAAAAGTAGATCCAACTCTCTATCATGTCAACTTAGGACCTGACTTCCTCAATAAGACTCCTAAAGTGCTAAAAGTAAAATCAAGAATCAATAAATGGGATGGTATCAAACTGAAAAGCTTTTTTACAGCAAAGGAAACAAATCAAGAATATGAACAGAGATCCTACAGAATGGGAGAAAATCTTTACTATCTGCACCTCAGAGCATTAATCTCCAGGTTATACAAAGAATCTAAAAGCTTCACACACACACACACACACACACACACACACACACACACACACACCAATTCAATCAATAAATGGGCAAAGAAACTGAGCACTTTACAGAAAAAAGAAATATGAATGGTTTAAAAATATGTGAAAAAATGTTTAGTATCTCTAGCAATTAGAGAAATGCAAATTAAAACTAACTGAGATGCCTATCTCACTCCAGGCAGGATGGCATAAAGAATATAAGTAACAATAAATGTTGGTGAGGATGTGGGAAGAAAGATAGTCTTATACATTGTTGGTGGGGCTGCAAATGGTGTAATAACATGGAAAGCAGTATGGAGATTCCTTAGAAAACTTGGAATGGAGCCACCATTTTACCTACCCTGTTATCCCACTCCTTGACCTATACTCAGAGGACTTAAATCAGCATACTACTGTGATGCAGCCATATCAATGTTTATAGCAGCTCAACTCACAATAGCCAAGCTATGGAAACAACCTGAGTTTCCTTCAATGGATGAATGGATAAAGAAACTATGGTATATGTACA